ATATATATATATATATATATATATATATATATATATATATATATATATATATATATATATATATATTCCATATATAATGTTCCATGACTTTCACCATCACCAATTTTAAAAATTATTTTTCAAATAAAGCTTTATTACTCACTTGGTTTTTTCTCTGAGGAGAGAAATAAAATTATATTTCTTAAAATGTATATTTTTGTTTATGTTACTGAAGCAGTTGTTTATATTATTATTTTAAAAAGTTTAAGAATTGCTTTCTTTTTAACAGTATTTTGCAATTCAAATATATTTCAATTTTAAATAATAAGCTTAATTTGTACATATTATTCAAAGTTAATCATAAAATGAATGAATTTTTAAACTTAAAAAATTAAATTGAAAGCATCAATTAATTTTTTTTTTTAAATTAAACAATTAACTATAACTTGATATTGATTCATATTAGAAGAATTTTATATTAAATCTTAAGTTGTAATTGTGCATAAAAGTATTTTGATTCATGACATTAAAGTAATTCGTTTCCCTTAGTATCAGACTTAAAGAATGGATGGAGACCACAATAAAAACACAATGAAATCATCAAGACAACTCACCAGGCATTGCTGAAATCAATCAAAATACACATGAATCATTCATTTACACACAAAAAAAGTTGGAAGTGAAAGTTTCAAATTAATTTTATAACTGCGATGTTTTATAATGAATAATAAGTGAAACTTAAATTTAAATATAAAAATAAATCCTATTAATATTTTTTTCTATATACCTTAATTACTTACAAAAGGAAACCAATTAGGATAAACCACAAATTATAATTCATTTTAATTAAATACATTTTTTTGTATAAAACTAAAGTGAATATAATGGGTCATGTGTTACTTACATGGCTCAGCTGTTGCACGGAAAAGAAGAAAAAGAAAACTTTTTGTTTGCTTTTAATTTAAAAAATACAAAACCTAATTTTTCTATTTACTTTTAAACATTTTTAATTCTTATGATAAATTACCCCAAAAAAAAAAAAAAAAAAAAAGAACATAACCCAAACAAAATGGGAAGATAATTTAGAGAAAAAAAATTATTACATTATGTTCATGTCTCACATATGTATTTTAGTACCAATGTTAAAAAATTTTCATGTCTCACAATATATGTATTTTAGTGCCAACGTCAAAAATGTTCATGTCTCACATATGTATTTTAGCACCAACGTCAAAAATGTTCATGTCTCACATATGTATTTTAGCACCAACGTCAAAAATTTTCATGTCTCACATATGTATTTTAGTACCAACGTCAAAAATGTTCATGTCTCACATATGTATTTTAGCACCAACGTCAAAAATGTTCATGTCTCACATATGTATTTTAGTACCAATGTTAAAAATTTTTCATGTCTCACAATATATGTATTTTAGTGCCAACGTCAAAAATGTTCATGTCTCACATTTGTATTTTAGCACCAACGTCAAAAATGTTCATGTCTCACATATGTATTTTAGCACCAACGTCAAAAATGTTCATGTCTCACATATGTATTTAAGTACCAATGTTAAAAAATGTTCATGTCTCACAATATATGTATTTTAGTGCCAAGGTCAAAAATGTTCATGTCTCACATATGTATTTTAGCACCAACGTCAAAAATGTTCATGTCTCACATATGTATTTTAGCACCAACGTCAAAAATGTTCATGTCTCACATATGTATTTTAGCACCAACGTCAAAAATGTTCATGTCTCACACATGTATTTTAGCACCAACGTCAAAAATGTTCATGTCTCACATATGTATTTTAGTACCAATGTTAAAAATTTTTCATATCTCACAATATATGTATTTTAGTGCCAACGTCAAAAATGTTCATGTCTCACATATGTATTTTAGCACCAATGTAAAATTGTTCATGTCTCATAATATATGTATGTTAGTACCAACGTCAAAAATGTTCATGTCTCACATCTTGAGTAAGTGATGTAGAACTATGATATGGTCCAAACCTTTCTGAAACATGTAATATTATTAACGGCTTTAAGCAGTACACTAAAATATATTATAAATCATCTAGAAGTCCAACAAGATCGCAGATATCGACGTCATACAGTTCTGGTGTTTTCTTCATTTTAGGACTCTCCTTGAGCTTCACGGCATAATAATAACTTTACAAGTTTGTTACAATTTTAAAACTTTAATCAATTTCAATGTTTGGATAATAGCTAAATCAACATTGGGGTTACCCGCATCAATGTCCTGATTATCTGCATCAGTGATGGTAAATATCTACATCAACGTCCTGATTATCTTCATCAATGTTGGTAAATATCTGCATCAATGTCCTGATTATCTTCATCAATGTTGGTAAATATCTGCATTAATTTTGAGATCATCTGCGTCAATCTTGGGATTATCTTCATCAAATTTTTGATCATCTCAATCAATTTAGCGATTATATGCATCAAAGTTTGTTAATATCTGCATCAATGCCTTGATTATATGCAACAATGTCTTGACTTCTGCATCAATATCTCGATTATCTGCATCAATGTTGTGATTATCTGCGAAGGTGTTTGGATTATCTGGAACAATGTTTATATTATTTGGACAGATGTGTTTGAATTGAATGCATTTAGGTCAATGTCTTGGCTCAATGTGTTTAGGTCAACGTCTTGGCGCAATGTGTTTAGGTCAATGTCTTGGCGCAATGAATTTAGGTCAATGTCTTGGCGCAATGTGTTTAGGTCAACGTCTTGGCTAAATGTGTTTGGGTCAATGACTTAGCTCAATGTGTTTAGGTCAATGTCTTGGCTCAATGTGTTTAGGTCAATGACTTAGCTCAATGTGTTTTGATCAATGTCTTGGCTCAATATGTTTAGGTCAATGTCTTGGCTCAATGTGTTTTGATCAATGTCTTGGCTCAATGTGTTTAGGTAAATATCTTGGCGCAATGTGTTTAGGTCAATGTCTTGGCTCAATGTGTTTAGGTCAATGGTCAATGTCTTGGCTCAATGTGTTTAGGTCAATGTCTTGGCGCAATGTGTTTAGGTCAATGTCTTGGCGCAATGTGTTTAGGTCAATGCTTTTGGATCATTGCGTTTGGGCAAAAAAATCCCACGCCTTGTAGATTTCGTTCTGCGAAGTCTGCACCAACGTAACTTTTTGAAGGACAGATGGCAAGGGAAAATAATAAAGTATAGAAATATATATGTATATGTATAAAAATAAATATATGTTTTATATATTTTGATATATATATTTATATTGTTCCATTACTGTCAACAATCACCATTTGATTTTTTTTAAAAATAAAGCTATTTTTTCTCACCTGGTTTCACCTCTGTGAATAGAAATAAAATTATATTTCTTTAAATTTGTATTTTTGTTTATGTTACTAAAACAATTTTGTATGTTATTATATTTAAAAGTTGGAGTATTGTGTACTTTCTAAAGTATTATTTTAAAGTGTCAACTTAAATCCGATTCAAATATATTTCAAGTATACATTTTAAAATTAATTTGTAAATATTATTCAAAGTTAATCATAAAGTTGAATGAATTGTTAAATTTAAAAAAAAATTGAACAAATGAATTCAAAGTTTAAAAAAATTGAGTTATTAAATATAAATGTGTATTAATTCATATTAAAGGAATTTGAAATTAGATCTTTATTTATAATTCTGCACAAAATTATTTTGAAACATGATATTAATATACGTCGTTTGACTAAATATAATACTGAAGGAATGGATGGATACAACACTAGAAATACATTGAAATCGAAATCAACTCACCAGGCAAGTTTTAAAATGAATCTTAAATTAAACTTATATTTAAATATAAAAAGAAATCTTTTTAATATTATTTTGTTTAAAGATCAAATGTCGAAAAAATTATTTGGAAAAGAAAACTAATCAGGATAAACTACAAATGACCATTAATTTAAATTCAATCGATTTTTCTTAACAAAACTAAAGTAAATAGAGTGGGTCACGTGTTACTTACATGGCTCAACTGTTGCACGGGAAAAAAGAAAAAACAACACGTGTTATGCTTTCAATTAATAAAATACCAAAACTTATCTTTCTAGTTGCATTCACAACTGTTAATTCTTATGACTAAATCTCTACTCATAACCCAATCAATCTAATGGGAGAGAATGTTTAGAGATTTAAAAAAACATTTTTAGATTCTTATCAATCTCACAATGAAATGTATTTTAGTACCAATGTAAAATAACGATCACGTCTCAAAATATGTTTTTTTTTAGTACCAATGTCAGAAATGTTCATGACTCTCATCTTCATTAAGTTGTGTAGAATTATGATATGGTTCAAACCTTTCTCAAACATGTAAAATTATTCACGGCTTTAATGAATTCTA